AATACTTGAATATTGATTTCTTTTGAGGGCAAATATAGGAAGTTATAGTTTATTTTGTAAGAAAAATCTGTTTTACGGTTAAAAATAATATCAAAATGGAAATGAATTTTTATATTTCTACTAATGTAAATATTTCTATTTCAGGTATATTTTTTTAGCAATTTATACCCTCGAAATGATAATAAAAACCATCGCAAAAGGTTTTATATTAAACAAGTACACGTATCTACGAAATCCATGGAACTGGTTGGATTTTGTGGTCATCACCAGCGGTTATGCTACAATTGGCATGGAAGTTGGAAATCTCGCTGGCTTAAGAACATTTCGGGTTCTTCGGGCATTGAAAACTATTTCCATATTGCCAGGTAAGAAAAATTATTTAACATTATTATTAAATTTGTCTTATTGTAAAATTACGAATATATTTCTTAAGGTTATTATTCTAAATTGAGAGTTAAGAGTAGTCAAGTGAAAATATGTCCATTATAAATTTTTTTCATTAAAACTCAGTTTATAGTTTTCTCTTTTTTGCTTGAAATTTGTGGAAATATTGATATTTATTAGAGCTCGAAATTTAGATATTATTGACGATAATACCACGATTACCTGTAAGTTATGTGTCAGCGCCTTATTTATGTATGTATGATACAATATATCTGGTCAGGCCGGCCATTTAAATATTAAATTTAAAATTATATTTAAGAATGAAATCTACTTTGCATCCGCTCATTAAAATTTCGATTAATAGATGACTCTAGTGGTGTATTATTTGAATATTGTTTATTTTGCGATTAAGAAAGCATGCTAAGTGGTTTTTTGTAATTTTGTTTTTTGTGATATAGAAACGTAGAGAAAAAGAACAGATAGAAATTTTATATCGATAGATAGACTGGTTCTCTTTGGAAAAATTAATAGAGTTTTAGTTTTGGGAAAACTAATTATAGTAATTATTGTTAAAAATGTGCATCAGATATAAATTCCTTTTTTCCTTATTGTCTCCTTTCCTTTATATCTAAGAAAAGTGCAGTGCATTAGTGAAGCCCATTTTTTTTGGTGAGTAATAAATAGATCATTAATTTTTCCATTCTTTGTAGTAATCGCTGTGCATAATAGTAATTTTACAGTCCACGGAAAAAAACATAGTAATAATATATTTCTTTAGCAAATATCAAACAATATCTTACCTTGTAATTTTTTTTAGCGAATTTCGTAAATCCAAAGTTGATAAAGTCAATTTATTATAAACGCTCACGCTAACTATTTTTCATTACCGGTTGCCTAGAAGAATAAAAAATATATCACTAATATCTGTTCTAAATGTTTTGGAGTTAAACTAGTAGGTATTGGGTCACTTAGGCGTCGGAACTTTTTGAAGACCATGATAACTTTCATTTTTATCTATATCCACTCATTATGACTGTGAGAACTTTTATCGGCATACATTAAAAGGAAGTCGCCGGCCAGATGTGAATGACTTTAAACTACCCATCTGTACCAACCCCTGTGGTTTCCGTATTAGGGCCCCTGCATACGGCACCCACACTAGAGATCCAGGTCCTAGCACAGAGGCCCTAGTATACGCAAAGCATTAATAAATCTGTATTAGTGCCCATGGCGAGATTCAAGCCCGCAGGACGATAGAGAGATTATTTAGTTACACTGGCCATCGCGTGCTCCAGCCAATTACTTCACCGAGTCGTTCTATCTATAACCAAAAATTTAGGAACCAGAAGGGTATTAAGTACGGGGTTTAAATCCCTGCCGGAGTAGCCTGTTTATGATTTAATAAAAAAAAAACACAAACATGAAAAAACAAGTGGACTGTCGGCGGTTCGGTGGAAATCAACTTCAATGGATCCTACCTTATTATTTAATTCTGCTGGATGATGTCTAGCTGATGTTTATAGCCTACAGAGGCCTTATTGGACCGATCCTGGCGATCACTGATGATGTTCCCCAGGTAGGAATTCACAAGTGACTTTGACACAGAAAGCACAAACACAACGGATAAATGCGGGGCGAAAAATATGCATCGAAACGAAATTTTAAAGAAATTCAGCGGATTATTAATTGAAAATACGAAGTATTCGCAGCAGGAGTCAAATTATAACTGCATATTGTCCATCCTATCTCCCAGGATATGGTGGGAATAGGAATCACAAAAAATCTCTTTTTGTTTCTACGGATAAATGTACCTGGTGAGACAAAAAATATGTAAACTAAGTATATTTTATATCTAATAAGTTCTATCTGATAAACTTATTTAAGTATACAAAAAAAAACATGATAACACAAATGCGCGGAAACAAAACATAGCCCTTAACGAAGAACCAATCAAATGTCTTTAAAGAATTTAGATATCTCCAGCAGTTCACGGATTATAAGAAAAAACTATAGTTTGCTGTCACCCCCAAATTTGGCTAGCGTAAAAATATCTTTCTTGTTTCTTTGTCATATACATTTTCCGATAAAACTAATTTACGTATTAACATTTTAAAATAAAATAAAATTCACTTTATATGTTGTATAAATTTCTGTTGTAGGAAGGTGTTGACAATATAATATTGTGTCTACATAAAAGCTGTCACTGGGAACCGATACCTCCGTCCGAGCTCTATTTTTTATAATACCTGTTACAATCTTACAGTATCCAATGATCTCATTCTTGTATCTAAAATAGTTATTTATGTACCAAGGACATAAAGAGGCGTTTATGGCCCGTGGCGTAAAAATTAGACTCCAACACGATAAGGGCCATAAATGCTGGTTTTCCCCTAGATGCACACAAAATTTTATGTAAGACCAGTTTTAATTAATACATAATATATAAGTAATGTCGGCTACCTTACAAATTCTTCATCAGAATTGTCAATCTGTTAAATTTTGACCTTCCATAAAAAATGACATCATATTATTACACTGACAGGTAGGAAATTGATTTTGAATTTGTATTAAAAATAAATGCAAGTAACCAAGCAATAACGTAAATAAAGGTGGCTATATTGTAATTTTATGGCAAAAATCGTTATATAATCCTCTTATCGAAGTGTATTGTGTTTTTCAATTGAACTGGAAATGGAAAAGGATGAACATTTATTTTCCTGTAGCCTACCAGAAATTACTGAAGCAGCAGAGGCTGCAACGTTGACATGTTGCGTCAGAAGTCGAAAATGTTGTATGTAAAATAAAGCAAAAGCCCTAGGTGAGCTGTAAAATGTTTTATAGTCCGGCGGGCTGTAAAGTGATACTTTAAGCGATGGCTTAAAGTATCACTTTACAGCCCGCCGGGCCGTAAAACATTTTGAGGAAACCAAGTATTCATATAAAGCAACCAATTAAGACCGGTCTTACATAAAGAAATATAAATATTTGCGTTTCAATTCGCTACATGCAAAAAGACCAAAAATCACAAGAGCAGCGACTGTGATAACTAGACATAGGGAAAACTTATGACATGACAGAGACGAAGTTACCCCTCCTATTATATTCCGTATTACGCGCGATATAATAGCAATAAAAAGAAAAATATAAACAATTACACGTTTTTTATGGCTTTATGAAATTTGTTTGATTGCTGGTAGTCAAACTCATTAAAGATGTCATAATAAATCTTATTTCATTAATAACTATTGTTAATCCAAATAATAAATATAGAAAACCTACCTTTAGTTTAGCACATAATAATAATAATAATAAACAACATATAAACGACTAACGACTAACATGCTTGCCGTTCTGGTTCTGCTCTACACCTTAGGAGTAGTTAAGTGATGGTAAACGAGATGCGCCAGTTAAACTATCGGTAATAAGATGAATATTCACAGAAATATTCATCTTAGGTCATCCGTTCCTCATGTGTACCTCCTACTTCACCGAGGGGGGAGCCGACGACTCTTGAGTCTGGAGTGTACGCATGGCAAAGTATGACTGAGTATGACATATAACATCCGCAGGAGCTCAGGTCTCATTTTACAGTTTGTAAAACATCATGAAATTGTAGGATTGAGCGCAGGGCTATTCAAGGCAGCAAAAAGAGCTGCAGATGAACTCAGTCTAGCATTAAACACCAAGCAAGGAGGCCGGCAAGGTGCTAATGTAGTCAGTCACTATGTTTCAGCCGAATCACCTGAAGACCCGAATTGGAACTGCTGAACAGGAAAATCTGTTTTGGCGGCACGTCGATAAACCCTTGCATGGTTTCTTCTATAAGAGCATAAATACTGTGTTTATCGATCAGGCTGGTATTCGCCTTTCTAAGATTAGCTGGACTTAAGTCGGAGAACGAAGGATTCATTGTAGCCTGTCAGGATGGTGTTATGAACACCTTGCTCTACCGTAACTGCGTGTGGCGTACAGAGGTTTCTAATATTAACTGCAGAACCCGCCGTCATGCGCTGGCATCGCTCATGTAAATACATGTCCCGTATATGCAACTTCGGCCTACATCCATCGACGCGTTACGAATACTATATTACCTAATAAGGCACTCGTACGGGGGTAGACCTAACACCAGTACCGCCTTTCATCCCCGGAGATATTGAGTCCGTTGTCGAGAACGAGAAATGTCGTATTTATTGGAGCTACTCGTTTTCGACTGTCAAGCTAATCCAAGCCAATAGGCCTGACGTAGTCCTCCGCGATCATCAAACAGATGTGATGTCCAACAAGGAGGAGAAAAAGTAGACCAAATATCATGATCTCCGGTATGAGCTGACCCAGGCTACTCGGTCAAGATGGTCGTTCATATAATCGGTGTACGGAGGGATAAAACATAGATTGCTCTCAGAATTGAAAACCTTACCGGCATGCCAAAAGTCACCTGAGTGGCTCACAGGCCAAATGCAAAAGGTGGTCATTCTAGGTTCTCTCTGTGTATTTTAAATCACATTATTCTGAGATCTCCAAACACTAACCCAGCAGAATGTGGGAAGTGACTATAGGTAATTTGCTGGTGCGACTCTCATGTGAATCAGAGCCATGGCAGGACTGTCCAGCATCGATAAACCGAACGGGATTTGAACCCGCACCTACGATAGAAATATTTTTTAATCATGTGTGCTCTAATCAACTACGCCACCGAGCCGGCGGCGGCGATATTATCAATATATCCCAAATTTAAAATGTGATACAAACAACAAACTGTCTGCCCAGCTCACTTCCTTCTTGTTGGTAAATTTTTCAGTGTTGGCAACTCATGTTGCTGTGAATTGCATCACACTTCTTCGGTCCATCTGAAACGTACAAATACAGATCTAGAATCTAAGTAACACTATGAATTAAAATAATTATTATTCTGAAGAAATTGCACAAAGAGGAGATAATTTAATAATTTCTGTTAAATACGCATTTATTTCACAGACTCGCAAAAATATATACATTATGTTGTTTCTGTACGTATATTAAAAATATTTCCAATTTAAAAGATTTTGTTCTTTTCATAAGCCAGACTGTTTACTAAACTTTTTATAAGCAACTTCTTTAAAAGACGCAAAACCATTTAGTTTAAGTTCAAAACTTTAAAAGTTAAAAGCAATTTGAAAAACAAAGTTTGGAGCTTATTTGACACTTTTGTGCAAGGTTACACTCATTTCAAATTATTAAGCTTCTTCTTATACCTACCTTCTACAAATGGCACACTGCCTTTTAGGCTTCATTTAATATGTTAGGTTTGAGTAAATTATTCAAAAGCAAATTAAATTTATATTTTATGATTTTATGATAAAATTTTGTATATATAAAATAAATAATAGGAATTTACAATATCCATAAAAAATACGATGGAGTTTTCTAATAATACCTGATATAAAGAAGCCTTACGTCCCTAAGCTGTATAAAATCGGTAAAGGAAACCATTTTATTACTAACTTAAGTATTACAATAGAAAATATAATTATAATAGAAAAATTGCCTAAGAAAAAAATCAAGAATTCAAATTTAGCGAAACTTTCGCGGTCTTCCACCTAGACCGCCCGGGTTGAAATTCGGGATGGATGAGTCGATGGGGTATAGTGAATGAGCGGAATTTATTGCTTCATCATCTTTTGAAAAATATGTTAAATCACGGATTCCGTGTATCTGTGACACAATATGAGCACATTAAAGATCTCTACTCCACGACAAAAGTGGGGCGTTACACAATCGCTAAGCTTATTTCCTGTCTTAGATGATTGGTATTGGCAGTGGAAATAGTCCGAAGTTAAATAAATGATATTTTTAATCACTATTTACACCTTAGTGGCTACCAACAATCTAATCTTTCATTTTAAAGAAATTCTCCAATTTTTTTACTCATTTAAAGAATGTCTAATGGCGCACTTTTTGAAGGTAAACTCATTGCACAACTCAAAGTGACGGATTTCTAGCACTTTTTTACGAAATCATATTAGCAGAAAAAAACGTTTAATAGAAGAAGTTATTGAGAAAATTAATTATGCCCGAAATTTCCTGAAACAAATTGCCTTTCATTAAGTATCAAGGTTACGATTCAGCTGAACATTTTTCTGTAGAAAAAATTTGTCTATCATTGGACTATATGGCCCCCCATTATTATTCCACTAACAGAATAGGCTCATTTAGTGAAATGTCTTTTTCATTTTTTTTTCAATTTTTTGTAAACTATCATGTATAAACGACCTCAAAAAAATTCAACTCGATTGAACGAAAATTGAGTCAGATATTTGCATTTGAATAATCAAATGCATTGTTGGGCCGAACACGCCAGAATGATGTCAGCAGATCCGCAAGAAATATACGAGATTACTCGTAGTATATGGCGAACACGTTTAAGGTGACTATGCTATTTTTAAGTAGTTTAATTACGGTATTTTGTGCCATTAACAATGTGTAATATTAATTGTATAAGAGCAGATTTTTCTAATTTGCCGAAAGTGAAAGCTAATACTGTTTGACATCGTCTTTTTAAAAATTCTGTTCGAACAATAACACGGTTGCATCGCAACCGTTTTCGGTTTTCCTAACAATCAAAGATATGTGAAAATAACACCAAGTCTTAAAATTTACACATTTTTCATTAACTTGAAATACATATAATTTTCAATGAAGAAATGACACGAGCAATTTGAACCAAAAATTTATTATTAGTAGTAAATTTTAATTACTTTATATAATTTTATCCTTTGTGATATTATGTAAAGTTTCATGTATTTTTGTTCTTTATGTGTTGTAATATATTTCTTTTATTTATTATTTTTTTATCAAAATGATGTGTATAATGGCTAGCATTGATTTTAAAACGTAATTTGGTTCTTGCAGCCCCGAAGATGGTGCGAACTATCCACCGAAATCGTTGACCAATAATTAAAATTTATTGTTAATAATAAATTTTTTGTCTAAATTGCTCGTGACTTCTTTCTCCATCTTACAAAGTGGGACGTGAATTGGTAACTATAAGTAATTTTCTATGTCTTCTTCAGTCTAAAAATAATTTAAAATTATCTCTATCCTATTTGCAATTCAAGAAAATTTGTATTAAAATGATCTTTACAACAATGTTTAGTCGTTTTGCTGCCTAAAAGATCGACACTACGTATAGCTTTGCCACTATTAGAATGAAACTTTTCATTTTAGTCAATGGTGTTTGTTCGTATTGTTCTTGATTGTAGCTTAAGTGTTTAGAAAATATATACCTTTAGAAGGAAAACCTAATTTAAATAGTCAGCAGCAATACGTAACTGAACGAAGTACAA